AATCCAGTGATTGATATTATGAGCAGTGGTCGTCGTGATAGGCATTTTGGCAACACTTTCTTAAAAATAATTTAAGATTCAATTTATTCATTACATAAAAGTTCTATGAAGCCAAAAAAAGCTTCACGTTATATGGTATTTCTAGCACTATATGAAAATATATATGAAATACTGAAATTTTGTCTTTACTTATTTATACTGCCAAGCGTTTTAAGAATACAAATGTCTTTATGTGTGCCTAGCCATTGCTTTTCCTTTTGATATTACTCATAAAACAGAAAAGTCACTACCAAAAAAGTTCTTTGTCCTTTTGTGTGGGATTTTTGTTAAAAAAAGGTTAAATTTTGATTTGGGGGGGCAAAGGTATAGCTCCTAAAGGACACCATAGCTTCATTGTCAGAGGTCTGTCTATTACATGATGATGATGATGATGATGATGATGATGATGATGATGGAGGAGGAGGAGACGAAGTTATAGGTTTTAAAAGGACACCATGTCTGCATTGTCTGATGATGATGATGATGATGATGATTATTGATGATGATGAATGTAAAGCCATTCCCACTGTCAGAACTGGGCTACAGAACTGAGATCTGAAAATGTCTTGTGTGATATTCAAATGTGTTATGCTCTTGTGCCTTATCAGATTCAGCTCTTCTTCTGTAATAATATGGCAAGACGGTTTCTGGAATGCTCAAATCCATCAGATGTGTTATCAAGTATGTGATCTTTGAATAATGTTGTTTGTCAGATTATGACCTCACTTTCAATATATTTATATATTTATGGTTTGAACTACGATGGACTAGATATGTTTCTCACATCAGTATGGAGTCCTTCTGAATCAATATCTACACAAGCAGGTGTGGATTGCAGTATTGTTTCGGCTCACCACTGTCAGTCACTCACTCATGCCGTTTATCAGCATCATTTGTCAGTTTATGATGCTGAAGGTGTTGAATGTGGTGGGGTTGTTTCAGTGCTGAAGGTGTTGAATGTGGTGGGGTTGTTTCAGTGCTGAAGGTGTTGAATGTGGTGGGGTTGTTTCAGTGCTGAAGGTGTTGAATGTGGTGGGGTTGTTTCAGTGCTGTAGGTGTTGAATGTGGTGGGGTTGTTTCAGTGCTGAAGGTGTTGAATGTGGTGGGGTTGTTTCAGTGCTGAAGGTGTTGAATGTGGTGGGGTTGTTTCAGTGCTGAAGGTGTTGAATGTGGTGGGGTTGTTTTCAGTGCTGAAGGTGTTGAATGTGGTGGGGTTGTTTCAGTGCTGAAGGTGTTGAATGTGGTGGGGTTGTTTCAGTGCTGAAGGTGTTGAATGTGGTTGGGTTGTTTCAGTGCTGAAGGTGTTGAATGTGGTGGGGTTGTTTCAGTGCTGAAGGTGTAGAATGTGGTGGGGTTGTTTCAGTGCTGAAGGTGTTGAATGTGGTGGGGTTGTTTCAGTGCTGAAGGTGTTGAATGTGGTGGGGTTGTTTCAGTGCTGAAGGTGTACAATGTGGTGGGGTTGTTTCAGTGCTGAAGGTGTTGAATGTGGTGGGGTTGTTTCAGTGCTGAAGGTGTTGAATGTGGTGGGGTTGTTTCAGTGCTGAAGGTGTTGAATGTGGTGGGGTTGTTTTCAGTGCTGAAGGTGTCGAATGTGGTGGGGTTGTTTCAGTGCTGAAGGTGTTGAATGTGGTGGGGTTGTTTCAGTGCTGAAGGTGTTGAATGTGGTTGGGTTGTTTCAGTGCTGAAGGTGTTGAATGTGGTGGGGTTGTTTCAGTGCTGTAGGTGTAGAATGTGGTGGGGTTGTTTCAGTGCTGAAGGTGTTGAATGTGGTGGGGTTGTTTCAGTGCTGAAGGTGTTGAATGTGGTGGGGTTGTTTCAGTGCTGAAGGTGTTGAATGTGGTGGGGTTGTTTCAGTGCTGAAGGTGTTGAATGTGGTGGGGTTGTTTCAGTGCTGAAGGTGTTGAATGTGGTGGGGTTGTTTCAGTGCTGAAGGTGTACAATGTGGTGGGGTTGTTTCAATGCTAAAGGTGTTGAATGTGGTGTAATTTATCATTATTTTAATTCCACTTGTCACTTATGTAAACTTTGCCAACAAGGTGAAATTATGAAAGATTTTGAAAAATGCCATATTCCGGTATTTTCAAAATGTATTGTGATAAGAATTCATTACTATTTCACACCGCTTCTATGTAGACTTTTAAGGAATGTCCCCATGGTTCCACTAGCAGTGAAGTCTTTTAAAGGGATGTCCCCAGTGCTCAACTGACAGTGAAGTCTTTTAAAGGGATGTCCCCAGTGCTCAACTGACAGTGAAGTCTTTAAAGGGATGTCCCCAAAGCTCAACTGACAGTGCAGTATTTTAAAGGGATGTCCCCATGGCTCAACTGACAGTGAAGTCTTTAAAGGGATGTCTTCAGTGCTCAACTGACAGTGCAGTATTTTAAAGGGATGTCCCCATGGCTCAACTGACAGTGAAGTCTTTAAAGGGATGTCTTCAGTGCTTAACTGACAGTGAAGTCTTTAAAGGGATGTCCCCAGTGCTCAACTGACAGTGCAGTATTTTAAAGGGATGTCCCCATGGCTCAACTGACAGTGAAGTCTTTAAAGGGATGTCCCCAGTGTTCAACTGACAGTGAAGTCTTTAAAGGGATGTCCTCAGTGCTCAACTGACAGTGCAGTATTTTAAAGGGATGTCCCCATGGCTCAACTGACAGTGAAGTCTTTAAAGGGATGTCCCCATGGCCCAACTGACAGTGATGTCTTTTAAAGGGATGTCCCCATGGCTCCAGTGACAGTGAAGTCTTTAAAGGGATGTCCCCAGTGCTCCAGTGACAATGCTGTCTTTTAAAGGGATGTCCCCATGGCTCCACTAGGGTCTTACAAGAGACATACCCAATTTCTGACAGGGCAGTTTTAGAGTCTTCAAGCTGTTAGTTACTGTCTGACCCAATTCATGAGTGCTATCGATCAGCTGTAATTGGCACGTTCCACCGTGCCATGTGACCCCACGGTCAATAAACGGTCAATAACATTTACAAAGGTATACAGTGCTTTTGAACTGTGCCAGTTGTATTGACCTACATTTCAGTGCAGGATTGGTCATCACTTTGGACAAGTGTATAGGAGGAAATTATGTAATTAGGACCACTAGCTAGGATGTCAATGACGGATGTCGAGCGGTGGTAATTTTAAACAACTTCAAAAGAGTGAGTAAATATGGTTTTACACTGCAGACAGCAATATTCACAAGTAATTGAATCAGGGCAAAGAAACCAGTGGTCAATAGAATGATCATGGTGTGGTCATACTGTAATCACCTAGGCCCCGTTCTACAAAGTGATGTTAGCGATATGACTGTCATATGTCTATGTTAAAGTATGGGAGTTACGATTGTCTTAGCGCTATGACTGTCATATGTCTAAGTTAAAGTATGGGAGTTACGATCATCTAGAAGCTATGAACCCTACTCACTCACTCACGACTATAAGTTTGGTCCTGGTTCTGTCCAGGAATCCCTTTCAGGGCTGTGTCAATGACAGACAGTACTTGTTCCTCATGCACCGTGACTGTGGAATATATGTACATTATGAAAACAAAACCAAGATTTGTATAAAGGCAAGTCTTGCCTACTCTATTTCATAGCTGCAAATGAACACCAGGAAAATGTTCTTTTTCAATTTTTGATGAAAGAAATGTATTATGTAATAAACCAATTCATGGACCATATATTAGTCTAAGTACTTGTGTCCTTGGCTCCATATGAGAATCATATGACATCAGATCTAGCTTGTGACATTATAGCAAGACTGAAGCATAAAAAGAGGCTTCTAATGTGTCTCAATATCCTAGAAACTGAATACCAGTTTCACAATCTTTATGTAATGTACCAAAAACGTTAAACGGGAAAATATTATTCCACATATCACCATGATCACATATCAAGTTGCAGTGACTTTTAAGCCTAAAAAAATTACATAATTTGAAATGATACACTTTATTTTCTTCCCGGTGAAGAGATCACACGTTTAAGAAAACATACAGCTATATTACACACCAAACTGCATGCTGATGTACTGCGGGAACAAGTTTCATGAACAAATATGAAAGCTCCCAACATCCCTGGGCCTATTTAACGACAGTGCATGTGGAGATGAAAGATCACTGAGAGGAGCATGCACACTCAATGACCCCAGCAACCCTGTTGCTAGGCTGACGTCACATGGCATTGTTTCGCTGGTGGATCTTGCAACAAAATTCCGCATCGGGTATTGTGCCCGTTCCACAAGGCGATCGTACTGTAGTGCAACGACAGTCGTAAGTTTCTGTTAAACTATGTGAGTTTCGATAACCTTAGTGCTACAACAACTTTGTGGAACGGACGCCTGAATTCTAAAGGTGGACCGTTGTAATGTATTACATTAATATGTGTCAACGTTTGACGTGTTTGAAGTATTATTATGTTAAACTCAATTAGATTATGCTGTGGATCGTGAAGGTGTCTGCCTATTCATACACAACAGTGAAAATCTAATAATGTTAAAAAACGGCAAGTTACAAATAATTTTATGAAACTCGTGAATAGTTGTGGTATTAGACAGGAGCTTGCTGAGTATTCTATATATACTTGTTAACTGGTGTAAAAAGTTCTGCATGTATGATGTTCCAATGATCCTGACTGTGACTCTTGCACTCAGCAATATTCCAGCTATATGACGGCAGTCTGTAAATAATCAACTCTGGACCAGACAATCCAGTGAGGGACAACATGAGCATCGATCCACGCAATTGGGATACGATGACATGCATCAACCAAGTCAGCGAGCCTGACCACCCGATCCTGTTAGTCGCCTCTTACGACAAGCATAGTTGACTTTTATTGCAAGTATGGGTTGCTGAAGACCTATTCTTACTCGAATCTTCACATGTATGACCAGCAGCGAGGAGGAGGCATCAAAGCCTGTGTTGACATCTAATGTGTTCTCTGGGAGGGAGGTGGGGGAGGATGTGTACATGGCGGTCTCAGGTGAGGGCCGTCTCTAACTAATCAATTCTGCCATTGAGCCGATTCGTGAACTGACCTACATAACGCTACAACACTTCAGCATAGCTATGTGGCTTGTTAATGGCAATAGATAATGGGGGAGGGGAGCATGTCGGTTGCTGCCCTGTGTCGGACACCAACTACATATGTATGCTGAATAAGTGAAAGAGAGCTTGGGCATAACCAGTGCCAGGAGCCTCCATCTGTGGAGAAGCTAAACCTGGGGAAGGAGGTCAAAGTTGAAATTGCTTCTGTGAATACACATCTACAGTGGCTGGCTGTACGGCTTGACCCCGGTGACTGGCAGTGTAAACATGGCCTCCTCCTTAGCGCCACCACCGCACATAGTATACACACAGTGCAGTATACAGTCACTGCCTAGATGGTCCAGTGCTGCATTGCTCCAAGGGCAGGGCCCAAGTGGGCAGATCGAAGACCTTGTGATTGTTTTCACTGACAGGCTGGACTGAAAGGAAGAGCCATGATGGCAGTGAGCCAGTCTCATTAAAGGACAGCCCTTGGGCCGTAGTGACCCGGCTAGGTACAGAGAGGATATGTCGGTCAGCTTGTGATTGGTCAATACGGCGCAGGCTGATCAATGAACGGTATTGATTCATTTACGATGTGCTGGTGAGACGAGGATCCTTTACAATAGAAACGTATTTGGCGTGTGTGCATGTGAGCGAGAGGGTGTGAGTTCAACAGAGCTAGGGAATAAGATGGAGTGTTTTGCCGGCGTAAGGTAAGGTTTAACACATAGTGTGTGTGTTTTCCTCTTGTATTATTCAACTATTAGATGATTATTGGTGTATTTCAATTAACTTTGTTAACATACTCAATGAATAATTTTTGTACTTTGTAATTTGTTTTCTTTGAGTCTGTACGATTTGTAAGTACTTAATTATTTTAAAAGGAATTTTATTCAGGAATTATTTTGAATCATAACTTTTACACATGAAATAATGTTTATGTATTAATAATAATATCTGTACATTTTGCAGAATTAATAATGAGTCATTTGTCATGTTGATACTTAAAACTTCTTTCAACTTGGTCATATTTTACCATCGATGTAATAGAAGTTGTATGGAAAGATGAATTGATGCAGAAGTTATTGACAGATGTCAAAAAAAGTTAATTAACGAAAAAGAAGTCGATGTAGAAATCCTGTATATCTCCAACGTGAAGCAATGATGATTTCTCGTGGTAAGTAGAGAGGCTCAACCCGTGTGTGTATCTCCTTCCTGGTTAGGATGCTTTGCTGGTAATTAGGTCAAATATTCTTGCTCTGTTACAAGCAGGTTGTGATTACACCTGCAGTCTATACTCAACTCTCTGTGTGATTTTGATTTGTTCTCATGTTAAACCACTCATACTATAGGCTGTGCTTTTATACTGGTTTTATGTGAAACATGCGACATGTTACTTTGGTGACTATTCTCTTTTGAATAATCGGTGATTATAGTTTTGAATAATGAATGTTAACTGACTATTATATTAATGGATGTTACATATTCCTAATGTATCACATTTGTAGATGTTCACATTTAATTGTGATTCAGCTGTTAGATAGGGCACTAATAAGAGCATAAATACAAATGAAATACATTAAGATGAATTTGAATGCCAATGTTTCAGTCAAATGATATTGGGCTCTGGATTTTTTTTTTATTGTTTGCAATGTAAACTGTTTATGGTATACAAGTCACAGCTACGGCAATGTAGATAAGCATTTTATGGCACTGATGCGTTAATTGATTTTTCTCTGGGCTTAATATGGAAGGTTTGTAGGTCAATGGCACATACTGTGCTTGCGTAGCCAGAAGTACATCCTTACTACAAACTGCCATCATAGACTTGTAGCATCTGTAGCAATGGGGATGAAATTTGGGAGTCGTAATGGTTTCAGCACAGGGAACAGGTGAGGTGGTAGAGGTATTGCATCATGTGAAGTGTGCTGAAAAGTAGTGTACAGCTCTCAAGGAAGTCGTGGTATTGATTAGGTGAGACTGGGCCGCCTGTATGTAACTAGACGTAGGTGCTGGTGTTTGCAAGGAGGTCGGGCGTGGAGCACTGAATGTTGGAACAGCTCGGTAGGGTGGTGGCGGCGGCGGTGGAAGATCAATATATCTATCAATACGAGGGAATGGTCAGAAGATCTGGGTCAAGGTGGAGGCAGCTTGTGGGAAAGGGGATTAATGGGGATAAGTCTTGGGCGGGACAGGTCGGGGTTGAAAGACTTGGGGGCTGGGGGAGGGGCAGGGGAATGGTTGTTTCTGTCTGGGGTAACGGCAGAGATCTGTTGTGAGTAGTGTAGGGTAGAGTACAGGGCTATGGCAAAGACTTGTTAGGATGTGTTTAGATTTTCAACATAAGGGTTTAGACAAGGTTAGTGCAGGTGATTAGTGAAAGGATTTGGACTAGGCTAGTGATTCATGGGATTGTGAAGACCTTCTATGATTAGGGAAGATGATTAGTGTAGGAATAACTTGTTTGATAGGCATTTAGAAGTTGGAGTACTAAGTAAGGATAAGAAATTTATGGATGAACAACTTCTTAATTGTAATAAAGAAGTTGTTCATCCATAAATTTCTTATCCTTACTTGATTAGTGTAGGGTTGAGGTTTTCATTGGTGCAGGAGTACTGAACAGAAATTCCAGGCTGTGGCATCTAATCAATAAGTTTGTAGAGTCAGGATTGTACTTTAAAGAACCCGCCGTGATATTGCTGGAATATTGCTAAAAGGGGCGTAAAACCTTACTCACTCACTCACTTTAAAGAGATTCCTTGTACTTTCCCAAATAATGATATGTAATCTGTTGACTCCAACTCTAAATGCTGTTTTTCATTATACTCTGACTAAGCAGTCAAATTGCTGGAATATTGCGCAGTCCTGCGTTTAACAAACAAAGAAACAAACAGCATCTATGGCCACTCCATATTAGATCTGTATTCAAAGTTAACACAAAATGAAGATTCTAAGCTCTAAGTAATGTACAACTTTGCATTGTACTCAAACAGTGTATTAATGTATTATTTGTAATATGTTGACGAGCAAAAGAAATCCAGATTGATTGCCTCAAAGGGCTCACATTAGCAGGGAAGTCAATAAAATCATTGACATGAAACCACACCCTCTACAGCAGGTCAAAGGGAGATAACCCAATAGAAAACAGTATCCGGTCCCCCATCCCGCACTCTCTCCCCCCTCCCGAACAGTGGTTCCGAGAAAGAGGATGGGCCCTTGATGAAGGCTTTATCTGATGTCATGGGGTAGTGCAGTGCATAGTTGGTGGAGTGAAAGTAGGGACTGTGTGAAAGGATGTTTATGTCGAGAAGCATGTGGTCAGATGACTCCACTTCTTGCCCAGTCCTGTACTAATCGTTTGTGGGTGTGATGCTAATTAAGGGAACAGTTGTTAGCCCGGACTTCTCAGACGTTAATAACTTGCCATGTAAGCTTATTGACTGTCTGCAGCAGTGACTTCTTGCTGGTAAATGAGTGGAAAACTATTGATGTAAGTGTTATTTCCCTGTATTCGGTCTTTATAGAAGGGCGTTTTGTGTGAAAAATGTATTTGGATTATTCAAATATACAATTTGATAGTCTGAATTAATAAAGGCAGTATTTTGGTGGGTTCACTGACAGCAAAGACAAAAAAATGGATGTGTATCTGTAGAAGGTCTTATTCATGGGGATGCCTTTGTACAAATGCTACTAGTTTCTTATTTGGGACAAAAATATGAAATATATAATGCTGTCGTTGTTTTGATGTGTAAGAACAGAATTGTTATCTGCAGGTTAGAATGGGCTCCAAGCCTGTTATACAAGTCAGTATAGTAACAATGTGTGACCTAGCTAAATGTAATAATGTGATTGGATGGATTGTTGCTCATGCTATCAACCTCTGGTTTGCCTGGCCCAGAATTGATTATCTTCTGGAAGCTGCTATTGAGCTGCTAGGTGATGGTAACTCCCATGCTGTAACGGTAGTAATAGTGTGACAATTGCTTTGTGGAACTGTCCCTGGTATTTAGCAGCCTATTTTCTTGTGTGGAAATAATAGCCATGTATCAGCTAGTGCAACAGACATCTGAAACTAATGGTTGATGGAAAGCTGTCACAGTACTTTCAGTTGCTGGTTATTGGAGCGATGTAGTGAATCATGTTCTATAACATTCATCCGCTATTTGCCTGGTGTACTGTTTGAATTTGATCCAATGCTGTTCTTTACTGTTTGCAAAATGTTTCATATGATTGGTCAATTAGTCCTTAGCAATATTCCAGCTATTTGAAGGGGCACAGTCGGCCCAGACGTCCAAGGCGCCTTAATTCGCTGTGCAGAATGCGTCCATTGGGCACGCAGGAAACCTGTAATGGGGGATTCGAATCCCTAATTGCTCCGATTATGTTTCTTGGTTTGTCAGCACAATTCCATGGCTCTTGGGGTTCACTAAAGTAGGGGAGCATGGGTGACCCAGTCGTCAAAGGCGCCGCAATTTGCTGTGCAGAGTTGCTTCCCTTGGGCATACCAGAAACCTATGATTGTGGGTTCGAATCCCGGTTCGCCTTGATTATGTTTCTAGGTTTGTCAGCACTATACCCGTGCTCGTGGGTTTCACCGAAGGGGTAAACGTCTGAGACCTGCACCACTCCGGACTTTCCTCCCACATTAAGCTGACATGCCATGATATAACTGGAATAATGTTAAAAGCGGCATGAAACCCAACTCACTCACTCACCAAAGTGGTAAACTTCTGAGACCTGCATCACTTCAACCAACCTCCCACATTAAGCTGACATGTCGATATATAACTGGAATATTCTTCAAAGCAGTGTTAACCTGAACTCACTAACTCCAGGTATATGATGACCGAATGTTAATAACCGAATCTGGACCAGACAATCCAGTGATTGAAATTCTGACCATTGATCCATGCTGTCGGAGTGTGATGACATTGAATCAACCAAGTCACTGAACTTGACCATGCAATCCATAGGGCCAAACTAACCCAAAATCTCCTCAGCTGAATGACAACATTTAAGGTAGAATTTCATAAAATAACAAACGCCTAATAGATAACAAGACATATTTCAGCTGCATGTCTCGCATTTCAGTTGTTGGTCGTTGAGATAGCACAGTGGTCAGTGTATTTGAACATCAGACCTTTGAGTCGAACAAGGCGACCAAATGGTTTGAATTGTCAGGCTTATTGTGCATGTGTGTCGCCTTACCCAAGGGCTTGGGAAGTGGATCGTAATATAAATTAGCAGCTGTGGTATGGCTGGAATATTGTTACTGCAGCGTGAAACATCAAAATTATAAACTCAAATGTGGTGTGATGCTCACTTACTGCCCTGCATTCAGTGTTGTGTGTGTATGTGTATGGATAGTATGCTGCCAGGTGCTGTGTGGAAGTCCATGGTTCTCAGTGAAGCTTGTATGTATTGATCCAAGATATTGTCTAAGGCTGGCTGCTGTTACTTGGTGTCTCCTATTCCTACTTCCTTATTGCGGATTCTCATCACAGAGTGCTCGTTAACTGGGGCAGGTGAGAAACATACCTGTATTGATTTTTGGTGCCAAATATGACTATGGTGTGTGATCAAAAATTGAACTAATCCTGGATATCGGCTACTCTTGAATTGTTTTATAACATCTAATACTTTCTGCTTTCGTAATGACTCCTTTTAATTATTGATGTTTTGGGCCATATTTGATATATCAGTGCGTGTGGTG